TTCAGCAGGCAAGGTTAAGTTTGGGGGCATTGTTTGGGAAGTTGTTAAACTGTTTTTGGTTTTTTCTAATGTATTGGTTTTATTGTAAGTCCAGAGCCTTTTGAGGGGAAGGGCAGTATATAAATCAAATAAATCAATAATAAAATAAATAAATCTCTAATCTCCCTCAGGACTTGGTGCTCTTTGTGATTGGAATTCAGAACATGGAATTGTCTCTGGGCACACCTACACATGCATTAAGGTGTTTTTTCTAATGTGCATGAAATTTAGTAGCTCTAATGTGAGGTACTAAAGAAATGTGCATTAGGCTGCCTTAATGCACAGTAACTAATGTGCATGGTTTTTAAGTGACACAACGTGCAGTTTATTTTACTACACATTAGTGTAATCACATGGGTTTTTATGTGACACTTTAATGCGCAGTAAAATAGCCTACTGTTAATTAAAGTGCACGTGTAGATGCACCCTTTTAGAGGTAGAGTTGGCATAGATTTCTTTCTCATAAAACACAGCTAGAGAAGGTGTTATTAGGTTTCAGTTCCTTCTTTGCCAGAGAGGGTTTGAACCTACACTGGCTCCCTCCCAGGTAGGGAGGGAGATAGTTCTCTAGAGCTCCTTAAGAATTGTTCCACTTTGTATAAAATAATTGTTCATTTGACTAGAGGGAGAGTAAGCAAAATGAGCCTAATGGTTTCTGCGCCTAATAGCCTAATGGTCAAGGGACTCTTCTGAGAGGGTGAGAAAGCGAAAATATATGAAGAGTGGCTAGGAGGGCTGGAGCCACATAGAAGAGACACATTAAATATGGAACCAAAGCCAAGATCTCAGATTTCCAATCCAAGTTGGAAGTAGAATCAGTGCTTGTTTGGGGTCTGCACTTGTGCTGTGGCTGACAATGGTAAGCTGTACTAACCAATTTTACAAATCATTCTACGTACTTTTCGTTAAAACCTCAGCACCATAGAACATTGCCTTTCAGCCGCTTTCATTTTAAGGGACCATTTCACTAAGCAACAAAATAGTAATTAGTCATAGAAGATATGTTGCACATTTCCATATTCAGCAGAGTGGTGTGTGAGGAAATTGCCTCTGAATTCAGTCTCAGGATTCCTAACTACAAAGTATTCTTTTGATCCAATCTCACTGTAGGAAAAGAGAAACTTTTCTGTGGAAAAGTTCCTGTGATTGGTTTCATTAATCTCTGGCTTCAGAGGCCCTGCACATTTCATTGTGTAAGAGGCTGCCTAGTTACTTAAGGACAGAGACAACCCTAGTAGGGTATGGGGCCCAGGGCAAATCAGCCTGTGCAGGGCCTGGATGCAAAGAAACTGGCAGCAGCAGCCGGGGGGGTGGCAAGTGGCCAAACATGAAGCCGGTGGCAGCAGCACAGTCACCAGCACTAGGTGGGCCCTATAGGAGGGGCTGCAGCCACTCAACCCGGCTGTGCGGGGCCCCCCCAAAGTGTGGGGCTCAGGGCAATCACCCCAATTTCCCCTCCTCCAGGGACGGCCCTGCTTAAGGATCAGTGGGTGTCCTCGGCAGCTGACCTATGCTGCCCATGATTAAGCCGCCTTTCTCAAAGGGTAAGTTTGAAAAGATTTTTTGTTGTTATCCTCCTTGCTAGGAATCCCAGTCATAGACTATAGGACCTGACCATAAAGCACTGTGCAAATGCAGAACTGAAAGGCAGACTATAAACTTCTTGGGGCTCAATCTAAAACTGCTTACATGCATTCAAATAATCTGGGAGAATTCTCCCAGGTTTGTTCTCCTGGTGTACCCAGAGCTGCACATACATATACTGAGGCCCTGAACAGTGGAGAGCCTGCAGTGCTGATACTGTACAGCCTGGCGGGACCCCGGTGCAGACATCTCAGCATGCTCAGCAGTTCTTCTTTGTCTGCCCTGTGACAGATGGCAGCAATGCATAGGGCAGCTCTGATTGACTAACCTGAACTGCCCATGATCAGCTTGTTTCACTACAGCAAAATGTGGGGGTTTCACTGCTGGGCTTCATTCCTGACTGCATGCATGCTGCAACTGCATGTCACTGCAGTCAGGAATGCACTGTCACTGCAACTGACAGTTGCAGTCAGTGACTGCAACATGCATGTCACTGATAAATGCACGCGGCATTTATCAGTGACATTAGCCCCATCAGCCAAAAAAAGCCAATTGCTGATAATGTCAATCTGCCTTTTATCAGTGCCAATACAATATAGACCAAAATATCAGTGCATCTCTACAGTAGACATGTTTAGCTTACAGTGTTAGGTTGTGGTTTTATTCCACAATTGTATTCGTTGTATCTGAGCCTAGATCTACTAAGGTCTTTTTTTCCCCTTTCCAATGATGGAAGAACCTCACTATCACAATTAATTTGCTAAAGTTATATCATATCAGATTTTAAACTCTTCCCAGAGGTGCAACACATCTAGACTGATTCTCTTTTCAGACTTAATTGCATCCCTAGCTATTTTTCTTCTGGTTTGAGTTGCTACTTAAGGCAGAGTGCCTCTACCTACATAAGTCAAACTCTATTAGATGCTTACCCTTTGTTATGTATTCTTCACTGGCAGCTGAGTTTAAACATGCCACATATTGTCTCTGTCAGATCAGTCTTCCTTCACTAATGTTCCTAGCCAGATCAGTTCCACGATTGCATGTCCTTGGCTTTGCAAAGGCCAGTGACACTTTATGAGGGTTTAGGAGTTTAATGAAACCTAAACACATGCACTTTCAGTCAGCATGCGACTCCAGTATTGAAAAGTCTGGTATGTCAAATCACAAATAATTTCACCTTGATTGTGTGTTTTTGTCCAATGAGACTCTTCATTTATCAATCATACTGTTTCTTTTTGAAAAATGAAAAACTTAAGAAATCTGCCTTGGAAGTGTGGCTGATGCATGACTCATTTGTTCTGCCATCATCTTTGTCTATGAGTCAAACCATCAAAGACTGACCCTGAGTAAGTATCAAAGAAATAAAGTATTATGTGCACAATAATATCACCCCACTGTACCAGACTGCTCATAGCAGTGGAGGAGGGCTCCTTTTTACAGGAGACAGAGTGTATTGGCTAAAGGTGTGCCACATGCGTCCTTTAACAAAATAAGGAGCCCTGAAGGTCAAGGAATAAGTCAGAGAGGGATAAGGTAAATCAGAAGACATAAAGGATCTAGATGGTAGTGTCAGAGCAAAAGAGCAAGAACAGCGGGTGGGACAGAATCTACCTTTCACCTTAACCACCCAGCATCATTCCCAATTCCTGATTTTTCCCCCCAGAGCTATGTTTTCTGGCACAGTGCCCCACCTTGAGCAGAAGACTAGAGAGCAAACCTTTCTCTTTGCAGTTTCAGAACAGTAATTTGCCTTATGAAAGCATCTGCCAAAAGCAGTTGTTATAAAAGGCAGACAGCTAATAAGCAGCAGACTTTCTGCAACAGCTTCTCCTGTCTGCCTCCTGGAAGCAAAAACACATCATTGCCAGGCTCAGGCTGCCTATATCTGCTTTAACCACAGGCTCATTCTTATATGTTATGCATTTATAACCAACCTTTCCTTCAAAGTTTGCCCTTGTTATAGTTATGCAGTCTTTTGCAGCTCACCTGCAAATCTGCCACATACCAGTATCAGAGCCTGGCTCATAGCCAACAACTTGGCAGATGAACAATAAAAGTAGGCTGAAGTAATATAGAAGGGGCAAGCTCCAAAAGATCATTTGGTGACTATGTATTGCTTTTAGAAGCATGAACCTTCTTTTTTTTTAGAAGCATACTCTTACTGATGGGGGTCATTGAGATGGTAAGGTCCACTGCCTATTTCTTTGGGTCTCTTTGGTCAAGGCTCTGACTGGCCAGGCTCCTACTTCACTACTCCTGGGTGGTCCACTCGTGTGGACATGTCCCAAGAGTCCATAGAGTGGGGTCTGTTATCATAACGTGTAAGTGGAAGGGGAGAGAGAGGAGAGCAAATAGAAGGTTGCCTGTCTCTGGCCAATGACTATCTAGCAACACAAGAGTAGTGATGCTATCAAATCTGCAATCCTCCTTTGAGGTACTGCCATAAACAGTGGTATGTGATGCATCCATTACAATATCACATTGACTTCATATTGTTCACCAAGCATGAGCC